GGCCAATTCAGACCTTGGGCGAACTTGGAGGCCCTCTTGGGACTGTTTTCCAGGTTTTTTTGGCCGTAAGTAGGTCATCGTGGATGCCTTTGGAACCATCTTGGCGCGGTTTTTGGAGCCTCTTGGGCCGTCTTGGGCTTTCGGAAGGCCGAGAAGAAGCAAACGCCAACATCCTTCAACAACATTGGGAAAACCAATGAATTTGGCCTCTTCGGGCCCTCCTGGAGAACGTCTTGGGGGCGTACTGGGAGCCTCTTAGCCGTCTTGGGCCATCTTGGAGGCTTCTTGGGAGGACTCGGAGGCATCTTGGAGCCATCTTGGGCCGTCTTGGTGGCTTCTTCGGCGGACTTGGAGGCAACTTGGACCATCCTGGAGGCCATCTTGGGCCAACGTGACCATCTTAGAAGATAGGACGCCGTCTTGGAGATTTGTTTGTGGACGCCGTGCTCGTTTGGGAGCCTTCCGCGTGGCCGGCGCGCTGGGCTCAAGCCCCAGAGGGAGTTCTTTTGAACACGAACCAAAACGAAGCCGTAGGGTTCAGCATGCCAGGCACCCTTGTGGCAAGACCACCGGGGGCGGCGGATCGAGTGGCCTTCGGCCCAATCTGCCACCGTGCCTGGGCTGTAGGGCAGGAGCCTCTTGGATGAATGTCAGGGTTCGTTGGGATGCCTCTCGTTCCCATGGTGCTATTTTTTCTCTGACCGCTGACGAGTGTCATGCGGACCTGGAATTCCCCAGCAAGGCTCCATCGAGTTATTCGTAATCGGAAAAGGTGAGTTGCGTACACTGGAGGAGGAGGTGGTGGATGAGCAGGAATATAAGCAGCAGGAGGAGGAGGAGGAGAAGGAGGAGCAGGAGCAAGGTCGAGGACGAGGACGAACAGCGGCAGCATGAGCTGGAGTGGAAGGAGCGGGAGGAGCAGGAGGATCAGGGCAAGGCGGAGTAGGGGAAAGGATGGAGGGAGGCAAGGATGGAGGCGGCACAAATGAGGAAGGACTCGGTTCCAGAAAAGTGGCCGGCGCTGGCGCAACCTTGCCATAGTGAACGGCGGGGGCAATGACGCTGCAGCGGCAGCACCATTTTGAAGGACCGATCGTGACGGGGTTGTAAAACACAGCATACGGGATATCAGCGTTTGAACCCTGCCTACAAGCACTACGCACTACGCGGAGAGGGTGGGTCAACTTCCGCACTGGGCCAGGGGAGAAGGGGACGTAATATTCATATTGAGTAATTGTGGATGGATAAGGGGTGAGGGATTGGAGGGGGGAGAACACTCCTCGACTCTGGGCTGGCCTGGAGCACGCCCCGCAGGGGCCTCATGTCAAATGACGACGGTCGGATTTTCCTGATTTGAGGACCGTTTTCGGTTTGGCTCAAGTCGATCGATCTTGTGGGAAGCCTCAGTTCACAGAGTGCAAGGTGCAGACGTTGTGTGAGCGCCATGGCCCGCGTGTCATTCGCCATGCTGTCGCTCGGGGCAGCGCTGGCCACTGAGGAGACCACGGCAAGCTTGCGGGGCTCTGCTGCGGCGCGACGCCTGGAGAGCTGCACCGCGGACGCGAAGCCATGCGCAGCCCCGCACTCCAACTCGGCTATCCAGCTGCCTGCGGCACTCCCCGCCACCGTGCCAGCCCAGCGCCTGGGATGGCGACTGCTCGAAAGATCGCGCCAACGAAGCGCTGGTGGGGGGGGCAGTGCATGCATTGAAGCGTGGCGAGAGGGGGGTCCCTTGAAAGATGTCAAAAACCCCGCCAGACAGTGCTTCACACCGTAGGTTATCCACATCGTGCAGGCACGGTGGCGGATCTGGTGCTTCGAGGACCCGACCTGCCCAGGGCAAGGGTGCGTCGAGGATTCTGGCTGCCGGTACTGCGATGCCTCGGCGATCGGCGGGCCATCGTACGATGGTGAGGCGTGCCCTTCGCCAGCGCCGTCTTCGGGCTGCACTGCGGACGCGAAGCCTTGCGCAGCACCGCATGCCAACTCGGTTATCTGGTGCTTCGAGGACCCGACCTGCCCAGGGCAAGGGTGCGTCGAGGACTCGGGCTGCCGGTACTGCGATGCCTCGGCGATCGGCGGGCCATCATACGATGGTGAGGCGTGCCCATCTATCCAGTCTCTCGGTGCCGCACTGGCCGCCGACGAGGGCTGCGACGGGATGACCTACACGAGAAACTACGCCGAGGGAACACCGCACGAGTGCAGGTGCGACAGCTACTGCGACGACTTCTGCGACGATGGGCCGAATGGCTGCGCCAGGACGTGCAGGATCTTGAACGGAGTTTTCGAGCACATCCCGTCCGTACATGCAGGCGACCGTACTTGCACCTGGTACGCGCACTACGTGACCAACCCGATTAACTACGAGGGCTACGATTGCTCGTGGATGACTGGCACTGGCGAGGGCGGCCATGGAGACGATTGTCAAGATTGGACGTCCGTTGGCGCCTTGAAGTGCCGGGAGGGAAACCAGAACCAGAACAATTGCCATTTCTAATCATGGTGAGTGTTCCCGAGGAGAAGGTCTTCCCGATTTCAGAAATCTTGTGGTGGGCGAAGGGGTTGAGATGCATTATACCCAGCTTTTTCAGGCTCAGTCCACTGCCTCTTCCAGCCAAGAGCGTGCGGAAGAGAGTACAGAGAGCATGATTCGTAGATGATGGAGATACACTAGCATCCTACCAGTGCTTCCCATCACCAAAAGTTTGGACCGTTGTTGGGGTCTGGGGCACTTCGCAGACGTGCTGTTCGCACAAACCGCAGCTGTAGGAAATCTTGACGCTTCGCGCCCCATCCAGAAACGATCCCCACTCGAGGTACCTTGATCAGGAACACAAAGCTACATGCAGCCCAGGAGCGAACCATACATGTCTCCGTGGGTCTTTCGAAGGACGCGGATGGAGAAGGAGAAGGCTGAGAAGGAGGAGGGGCCAGCGTAATGAAAAGGTCTTTCACGAAAGACGTTCCCACTCAATATCTGGTGAGTCCCAGGTTTGAGGAGCGGGGAAAGAAAGTATGAGGAGAAGGAGGAGGGGGAGGAGGAGGAGGAGAAGGAGTAGTAGTAGGAGGAGGAGGAGGAGGCGGGAGGACGAGAAACAGGAGCTCTTGGATGAATATGAGGGTCTTTTGGGCTGCCTCTCATTCGCAATGTGCTATTTTTTCTCTACCCGCCGACGCGTGTCATACGGACCTGGAATTCCCCAAGAAGGCCCACCGTGTGATTCGTAATCGGAGAAGGGCGCTCCGAATGGAGAAATTCCAACGTTACGAGTCAGTTTCGCGCTAATTGTTTCCATACACGGCCTTCTTGCAAGGCCGTTTCGAGGGCCCCTTCTGAATTCTATGCACGATACGGGACTCCGACTCTACTAGTCGGGCCGCTGCTTCTGTGTGCCGTCCTAGCCTGGCTCAAGCGAGACGCCGATGAGATCGCCAGGCATGGCGCTCTGGGACGTTGCGCTGCTTTCTGGTGCTAGCCTGGCTATGACAAAACGGTCCTGGGATCGCCAGGAATGGCGTTCTGGGACGTTACGGTTTTCCTGGTCTCAGCCTGGCTATGACGAAACGACGATGAAAGCCACGAAGTGCGATAGGGTTCGAACTTTCCAATTTTATGAATGAGTTGTTGGAGCTCTGGCACAGGACTTCCTCACCAAAACGACGCCGATCATAACGTTGCGAATCCGTAATTAGAAACAATTGAATTGTTTTATTTAGGAGTACTCAACGTTATGATCGTCGTCGTTTTGGTGAGGACGTCCTGTGCCAGAGCTCCAAAAACTCATTCATAACGTTGGAAGGTTGCAACCCTGTCGCACTTCGTAGCTTTTTTATCATCGTTTCGCCATCGCCAGGCTAGGTCCGAAGCAACAGTAACGTCCCAGAACGCCATTTCTGACGATCGCAGGATCGTTTCGTCAGAGCCAGGCTAGCACCAGAAAGCCGCGCAACGTCCCGGAGCGCCATGCCTGGCGATCTCATCGGCGTCTCGCTTGAGCCAGGCTAGGACGGCACACGGAAACAGCGGCCCGAGTGGTATTCATGTGGCGAATAAATCAAAAACAAAGCTTCCCGAATTCAAATGGACCCGCTATGGTTCCGGCAGGCCCGAGCTAGGGCGGCCCGAGTTAGCGCGACAAATTGGCGCCTCCACGATGGCGTAACTGAAGCTGCAGCTAATAAGACATATCCCCACGACGCTCTCTCGCGACCCCACAGGCCATAGGCCCCCCGTTTACGAGATGGCAGCCGCGGATGTAAAAAGCCAACGCGCAACCAAGTCATAACGTTCGAATATTGCCTTTTCAAAGAAGATGAATGCAGTCTGGGCCACGGTGATGTGGTACCCAAAAGCATACACTTGTGCTTCGCGTTTTTCTAGTGTTTTTTTGCATTTTCGGCGGCGGCCGCCGATCGTGCCCAGCTTAGATCCCGCGGACTTTGAATAGCGATATTGAAACGTTACGAATCAGTTTCGCGTTAACTTTACCACCCACGGTATTGTTACATGGATTGCTGTTCTTGCTACCGCGACTAATACAAAAGTTACGATTACGCTGATTACGACGAGTGCTGTTACTGTCTGGGCCGCTGTATTAGTAGCAGTTTAACTGCTACTACTACTACTACTACTACTACTACTACTGCTACTGCTACTGCTACTCTACTACTACTACTACTACTACTACTACTACTACTACTACTACTACTACTACTACTACTGCTACTGCTACTGCTACTGCTACTACTACTACTACTACTACCACTACTACTACTACTACTACTGCCATTACTACTACGACCACTACTGCCAGTGTTGTTATTATTGCTGCTGCGACCACTACTTCTTCCACTACTAGGGTTAATTCTACTACGACGACGGCTGCGATTACGATTATTAGTATCACTGTTACTATTATGTTTGTATTACGGCTACGACTACTACTATTACCACCACCGCTACCATTACTACTGCTAATACGATCCATACCGTTATGACGTTAGTGTTCGTGGTACCACTACTGTTACATTTACTACGGTCGCTTCCACCATTATTATTATCACCGCTATCATTACGCAGAACATGGCAGCCACGACTAGTACTGGTGATGCTGTTCAGCTACTAGTACGACAACGACTACGACTACGACTACGACTACTACTACTACTACTACTACTACTACTAGTACTACTATTACTACTACGACTAATAATACTACTACGAATACTACTACGACTTAGTAGTAGTAGTAGTAGTAGTAGTAGTCGTAATAATAATAGTAGTAGTAGTAGGCGTAGTAGTAGTAGTAGTAGTAGCAGCAGCAGTAGTAGTAGTCGTAGTCGTAGTAGTAACAGTAGTAGCAGTAGTCGTAGTAGTAGTAGTAGTAGTACTCTTAGTAGTAGTAATAGTAGTTGTAGTAGTAGTAGTAGTAGTAGTAGTAGTAGTAGTGGTAGTCGTAGTAGTAGGCGTAGTAGTAGTATTAGTAGCAGTAGTAGTAGTAGTAGTAGTCGTAATAGTAATAGTAGTAGTAGTAGTAGTAGTAGTAGTGGTAGTAGGAGTGGTAGTAATACGAGTACCACTACTACCACTACCACCGCGATTACTATTGCCACTACTACTGCTACTACTACTACGACTACTACTTCTATTAGTACTACTACGCCTACTACTACTTTTGCGGTTACTACCACTGTTGTTCGACTAATACGACTACCACTACCACTACCACTTACTACTACCGCGGCTACTACTACTACTACTACCACGACTACTACTACTACTACTACTGCTACTACTACTACCTTTACTACTACTACTACTACTGCTACTACTACTACTACTACGACGACGACCTACTACTACTACGACCCACTACTACGACTTCTTCTACTACTACTACTACGATTATTATTACTACGACTACTACTACTACTACTACTACTACTACTATTACTACTACTATTAATACTACGACTACTACTACCACTACTACTACTACTACTACTACGACGACTACTACTACTGCTACTGCTACTACTACGACTTCTACTCTGAGCCCCAAGTTCGAGTTACATCAATGATGCGTGCCTTCGCTGAGACCATCGTGGCCGTTCCAGCGACCCGTGGCCCTCTCCTTCCAATCCCAGGGGGGGGGGTCGGGTGATGGGCAACCTTCCCAAAGGGCAAGAAGGGTGTGGAAGAGGAAGCGCCCTAAACCATTCACGCGCTAAAGAGCTGGGTGGATTTTGCCACTGTTGATGGGAAAGAATGAAGTTGTGGTAAGAGGAGCGGGAGGGGGGGGCGCGGGATCTTTGAACTGCGGGTATCTGACGATAGGAACGGCACCTTTGGGGCCTCTTGGGCCGTCCTGGGGTGCTTTTCGGGTCGTCTTGGGGGCCTGTTAGGCCGTCGTGGGGGCAATCTTGGGGGCTTTTTCGGCGATCTTGGGGCCGTCTTGGGGGCCTCTTGCGCCGTCTTGAGCCGTCGGAAGGCCGAACAGAAGCAAGTGCCCAAATGCCTCCCGAACATGAGGAGCATCAGTGATTTGGGTACATTCGGGCCCTCCTGGAAACCTCTTGGAGGCCTCCTCGGCCGTTTTTGATGCCTCTGGGGGCTTCTTTGGCCATCGTGGAGGCTTCGTGGGCGGACTTGGAGGTATCTTGGACCCGCTGGGGCCGTCTTGGAAGCCATCTTGTTATTGGGCCGTCTTGGAGGCCAATTCAGACCTTGGGCGAACTTGGAGGCCCTCTTGGGACTGTTTTCCATGTTTTTGTCGGCCGTCATTAGGTCATCGTGGAGGCCTTTGGAACCATCTTGGCGCGATTTTTGGAGTCTCTTGGGCCGTCTTGGGCTTTCGGAAGGCCGAGAAGAAGCAAACGCCAACATCCTTCAAGAACATTGGGAAAACCAATGAATTTGGCCTCTTCGGGCCCTCCTGGAGAACGTCTTGGGGGCGTACTGGGAGCCTCTTAGCCGTCTTGGGCCATCTTGGAGGCTTCTTGGGAGGACTCGGAGGCATCTTGGAGCCATCTTGGGCCGTCTTGGTGGCTTCTTCGGCGGACTTGGAGGCAACTTGGACCATCTTGGGCCATCCTGGAGGCCATCTTGGGCCAACGTGAGCATCTTACAAGATAGGACGCCGTCTTGGAGATCTGTTTGTGGACGCTGTGCTCGTTTGGGAGCCTTCCGCGTGGCCGGCGCGCTGGGCTCAAGCCCCAGAGGGAGTTCTTTTGAACAAGAACCAAAACGAAGCCGTAGGGTTCAGCATGCCAGGCACCCTTGTGGCAAGACCACCAGGGGCGGCGGATCGAGTAGCCTTCGGCCCAATCTGCCACCGTGCATGGGCTGTAGGGCAGGAGCCTCTTGGATGAATCTTAGGGTTCGTTGGGATGCCTCTCGTTCCCATGGTGCTATTTTTTCTCTGACCGCCGACGCGTGTCATGCGGACCTGGAATTCCCCAACAGGGCTCCATCGTGTTATTCGTAATCGGAAAAGG